ACCTTATATACAATATACAAGTAAGAATTTTAAAAGTTCCTAATAAAATTAAAATTAAATTCCAAAACAATATAAATGAACTCTTCTACCACTGTAACGTTTTGCCTGTACACGATCAAGTCAAATCTGATCTCAGAAAACTATTTTAATGAAAACTTTCGTATTATAAAGCAGCACAGTAAGCAAACCCGTAGTGCATCAGCACTGACATTCGATATCCCAAGATACAATAATCTTTAGGGTAGGCAATTATTACAGTTTCAGATACCCAAGTTAATTAACGATTACCAATATATGTAAAAAAAGAAATTAGTGAAATTAATATTAAGAACGTACTAAAAGGATATTATGGCTTGCAGTTATTAAAACAAGAATAATATATTTAATATAGTAAAATTTAATGTTATGCAACACCATAATAGAGTAACAGTATTCAGTAAAATCTGATGGGGAACCCGCCCGTGTGAACAAACTCATTGCTCTGTTAGGGGCGACCGCCGACAACTCGTAGAAAGAGGGTGGATGCAGATGCTAAAAAAAGATCTAAAAGATGACGAATCCCAGTGCTCAGAAAAATCTACACAGGTTTTTGTAGCACTGGCTAAATGTATTGTTATTATTTATAGTAATGTGAGATTCAATAAATAAATAAAATAAAAATAAGTGTAATTTCTTCTGCAAACTAAAAACAAGCATTTTCACTGAAATCATGCACCACCATGTTTGTTATTTTTATGTTATGTTCATGAAATCTGATAAGTGTTGGTCTTCCTGCCATGTAGATAATTAATAATTTAAAGTTATTTGATTCGTTTTATGAAGCTAGTAATAAATTAAGATGATAAATGTTACCAAACAAACTCTTCAATGCTTGAAAGTCCTTATAATGTAGGAAAATTTTAAATAGAAACAAATAACATTTTATGTTGTAAATTATTCGTATATATATTTTTCTTTATTTTTTATAAAAACTATTCTACGTAGTACATGCAAATGTTCAAAAATTTTATTTCTGATTAAATTACCAGCTTTTGTTTTTGTGTAATCTCATTAATCTGTAGGCAACCTTTAAATTATATGGGAATTCCGATATGTCAATAAAACTCAAACTTTTACCACATTTTATGGTGGAGTCATATTTATTATATCTCTTAAACAATGTATTCAAATATAATAACAGTATTTATATCATAGTAATCATTTAAAATTTATTATTTTAAATTTATAGACAGTAATATGCAGATACTCTATCAAATTGACATGAATTTCTGTGGACACCAAGCCAGTTGAAACCAGCCATGCTTGCTTATATTTGGATAACATTAAAGTACTTTTTCTTACCCTGATAAGTATTTCATCTCTTACCTAGGGAATTCATTTACTAGTAGTAAGTATCATAATGTATATGATATACTGTAGTACTGAAAACAAATTTGTATTCTCTTATTTTGCAAAAAAATAGTTAACCTTAACATGCTTAAAAATTGCATGCTTCACCAATGCTTAAAAATCCCTTAAAGATGGAATGGAGACATTCACTCTGTATAAATAGCAATGCAGATTATTTTCATTGTATCTCTTTGCAACCTCACTGGATTAATTAATTTAGTGAAACTAAATAGTAGGTAATACAGAATAATATCAATGGAACAAGTTTCGTAAGAAAAAGGATAATAGTCTCAATAATTCTTATTTTAAAATATCTTCTCTCCATGTGTATATAGTAGAACTCCTGTAAAGCAGTTGGACCAGATTTGATAAAAGCGGAATATAAAGTGAGCATTTAAGTCAGTACCGGGATGGTTTAGAATCTAAACCATCCCGGTACTCTATCTACCAGGTCGAATTGTGAATCTAAACTTTGTGAATGTGTTGTGTGTTCCCTCTACCTATATATTCTCAGAAGCAGATATGCAATTACTGTCATCTTCATATATCTATGAAGATCATCAAGAAGACAAATCTTCTTAATAGAGCTGGGAAGGGTTATGGGTCTGCGACCTCAAAGGACTTAGAACTGGATATTGGGTAACAAATGTAAACTTTTAAGCGGGTAATAATATTTTTCTTTAGATACTTATGCAAAACAAAAAGAATATTTTCATAATATAGATCAGTAATGGTCTACATATATATGTTACAGTTAAACCCGTTTTAAGATAGTACGCGTTTTCCCTAGTTAAAATCAGTTTTTACTAAATGCCTTTGTTAAAGTAGACTTAAGCTTAACGTGCCGTGCTTCGTAAGGCACGTTAAGCCATTGGTCCCGGCTGCATCAGCAGTCGTTAGCACTCGCCAATCCGCACTGGGCCCGCGTGGTGGGTCATGGCCTAATCTCCCTATTCCATCGAAAACTAGAATTTACTACACTGATATATTTGATTTTCGGATAAAACTAGTTGTCACTACAAGCTTTAGTTAAAACTAGCACTAGAGAAACTAATTTGGGATTGAAAACAAGATATAGTTTAAAAAAAAATATTATAAAGATCTACGTTTTTATAAATAAACAAAATGTGTTTTATTTAAATTTTTTAGGTGACCCTGACCCCTTCCCCCCACCACACAAAGGCCTCGGAAATTTAAATAATTGAATTTGATATTAAATTATAATTCAGGATTTTTTGTTTTAGGTAACCCTGACGTTGCACAACGGTGTAAAGTTGCAAATCTGACCGTAAATTTACACGTTATGGCAACGCACCATGCAACGTTACCGGCACCGCCCAACGTTGACAACGTCGTGACGTGGAGATTGAACAGGCACTTAGGCGCCTTCCTCACTGGATTGGTGCAAGCACGTTTCGTTGTCCTTTATGTACCGAATCTGTACAGATTCTTTACCGAGTGTATATAATTAAATGAGAGCTTCACTGAGTCATTTCGGTACAGATTCAATACTAAGCACATACACACCTCTCTGTACCGAGTGCTACCGAACCACTCGACTCGCCCGCCTGATGCGACGGCATTGTAACAAATAACAAACAGCGTAGCAAACAAAACGTAACGATACCGCACCAAAACCGAGCCGTTCAAGAAGTGGTTCGCGGTTAAGAATCTGTACAGATTTGGTACAGAAACGAAAACGAAACATTCCGGTGAGAAAGGCGCCTTAAATAAACGGTAGGCGTTGAGCAAAAAACACCCCCTTTTGTTACGAGATAAAGTCGCGCTTTTGAAATAAAAAAGGAAAATGTAATCGACTATGCGACAGAATGAGAAGATGCGTAACTTTTTTCTTTGTCTATCAGGTTGATTATCAAAAAGTATTGGACACGTATTTTTCTTTATTCACACAATCAAAACATTCAAGAGATAATCATATTGTTTGAATATGTCGCATGACGTCAAGCAAGTCTTATTACAATTTTTACTTAGAACGACGTGACGAGCCGGATTCCCAAACTTTGGCGAGCTTTATTTTTGTCATTTTTGTTTAATGGACTATTTTATTATTTAAGAATCTAACTGGATTCCCGACTTATCAATGCCGATCAGTAAAATATTGGTGAAATTGGGGCTACATAGGATTTCTTTTAATTTACCCCGTCCTCATCCCTATTTCCTCTACATTATCTAGTAAACTTGTAAAGCTGACCGCAGACATAAGGTTTTTACGCTGGGTTCCTGTCTTGGGTGCGGTAATCAAATAAGATTACCTGAAAATCTTGGATGCGATCTCGTGCGTGGTTAATCATGTTGTTTCTGGAATTTCTCGAGATCATAAATATTGTTAGCTTGAATGCAAATTTTTATTTATGTGTTTACAGGCTAAAATATACATTTTCACATAAAGTAGTTCGACATAGCAAGGCTTGCATAGTATCCATGTAATACAATTCCCGGTAAAAACATAAATGTAAAAATGGGGCAATATTAAAAATAAGGGTGGTTTTCAACTTCAGTGACAAAACAGAACGTTCTGATGTAGGTAGTTTTTCAAGGAAGATTCTTTGTCCTAAGTCTTTGCAACCGCAATTCAATTTTATTTCCACAACAATGTTTGCTATTTAAAACTAGGCTGTTGCCTATCATTTGAAATTCGACCTTTTTAAAATTAGAAAGCTGTTGTTGTGTAATATCTAAATCATTGTGCGTGTCAAACCATGGTACTATATCCACCATGGCAGTGTGTGTAATATTGTTTCAATTAAAGAAAATTAAACTAGAAAATATTTCTTGTGGGCCACTGACCATTATGCTACAGTGGCCGTGGCCCTAATTTTAATCATCATTAGCATCTTTAGCTTTGAACATCTAGAAGTTACATGCTTATAAAATAAAAATATGTCGTTTTAACTAATTTTAAGTATTTGTGTACCAATTTTTAAATATCAGCCTTTTGCATTCCTTCTCCGAATAAACTTTTATTATGTAAATATCTTACGCGGCTCATTGTAAAAAAGGTATGTAGAAACAATAACATACACAACACTTTAATTAAAATATCGACACGACACCTGAATATCAACGCATATTTCACTTGCCCATCCATATTCGGTATTGTAGACGGTAGATCAAATAAATACAACCACCACCATGTGCGAGGTTCGTTAGGTCTTAACCTTTTATTTGTTCTGTGGACGAAGCGAATTAGTGAATCGGATTGAGAATGTTATAGTGTGGCTGGCCTTAGTATAAAACAAAACTATTTTAATAACTTTGGCGCATCTTTGGTAACACGGGCAAAATACTTTTTGTTCCGTGGTCACATACCATTCTATTTATGTCGATATTTCCTAACTGAACTTGATCCAAACCTTATGTTGATGATTATAAGGATTACGATCCGAACGATCTTTTCTCTGCGTGAGCTATATCGCTCGATATTGTGTTGTTCAAAGCTTTGTATAAATAGAACCTAATCAAACTTCGTGAGGCTAGAGGTTGTTTTCATTCTGGTGCTAATTTTAGGTGTCGTATCGTGAGTGAGCTCACTTTAATTTTTTGATGACATTTTAAATTTATGGTCATTGCACTAATAAAAAGATTGAAAAATTATGGACTTATTTGAAAAAAAGGTATGGAATATTATTTGTTTATTGCAAACAACACAAATGATAAAAATATGTTAACTTTAAAATTCAAAATTATGAATGCTCATTGTCATAATTTTCTTATGTGATATAAAGGTATTTGACAACGCTTGAAGGTTAAATTATAACAATATGTGAACTCCTTTATAAATTCATCCAAGTATGTTGTTTTTTACTTTATACTTGTTGTTTACTTTATACTGCACTGATTGCTAGTAGAGAAAATCTTTTTTTTTTTGGTGTATCTCATATTTTATATTTTTGGCATATCTATCACTTGTAGCTTATGTAACAGGTTTCACGTTATGTTAGCAATTAATATTAAATTTAAGTTATTTTCTTGTTTTAGATGAACGCCATGATACTATTGTGTTTCCTAGTATTACTCAAATGCGCATATGCTCAAATTGGACTCCTAAAAATACAGGAGCCAGAATGGAGGATTATTAACAGTTTCTTTGAAACAGATAAAATAGTAAATGGTAATTATAGGTTTGGGTAAGAATTATTTCATCTAAATAACTTTGTATCATAAATCAAGAAAATAATATAATTATTGATAATAATCAATGTGAAAATAACAATTTGTTTAACTGTATATCTACAGCTTTGTTAGTACTGATGGTATACGAAGAGAAGAGTCAGGAGGGTTTGATGATAACCAAAACTATGTTGTTACCGGCTATTACTCATATTATGACGAACATGGTACATTACACCATGTTAAATACACGGCAGACAAAAATGGATACAATGTAATTCCACTTCCGCCGAAACAGGTAATATTTAGTTTTTTTAACCACTTTCTTTAGCTGTGGGGAGCTGGTGGCAGTAATTTTTATATGATTTTATCGTTTGACAAAGGTTGATAATATTAAAGTGCTAATTAAAATAATAATTTTATACAATTCCTGCGATTCATTAATTGCTGCAATATCAAATATCAAATAGGACCTTGCGAAATATGTTAATGAGTGTAATAACGATATTATAATACATTGTATTTAATATAAAAAATGCTGGTTAATTTTCCTGCTGTGTTTTAGAGTTTTTTTTTCTAATTATTGTTGAAATCGCTGAAATAATCTACGTAATGGTTTTCCTCCCACTTTCAGGAGTTCTCCTGGCGCTTGGTTGTTCTTCAGTTGTTTCAGAGCGTTACTTATCTCGTATAGGCTGACATCCGGGATATATACGGTAGTTATAGTGTTGGGTTAATATGGTCTTTAACCAAATCATCACAAGGTTTTGTTTTGAGATGTATAATGGCATAGAAGCTCCCAATTCCCTCAAAATCTCAGACTTCGAATACGATTATCAGTCTTCAGCCGCATCAAAGAAGGACTTCATCATAAAGTGACCCTCCTCTTCCATGAAGTCAGCCAGCCTTTAGCACCTTAGATTTCGCTGCCCATAACTAAATATGCTGCTGTCAATTTGGAACCATCTCGCTCACTTAGCTTTGCGCTAAAATCCTCCATCACAACACTGTAATAATAGGTCGAGGTATATTAGGCTTTAGTTATAACCTCATACATAGATTCCTCTACCACCTCTCTTTTCTTCAGAGTTTCCTCTACTACCTTTCGTCTAATTCAGATAATATAGGTACTTAAATATTACCACTATACAACCTGAAGATCAACCTTCTTCAAGGTGGCATATAAAATTCTAATCAAATTGTAATACATCTAACATGCCAACCTGGGTGGGTGGTGGATGGAGAATGGCTAGGTTGAAAGAAAGGAATAACTGAGTCAATTATGCCGCCTCTAATTTTTGCCGCTCTAGGCTAATAGCTAGCTCGCCCTCTTTGGATCGGGCCCTGACTGGGTTAAAGTGGTCCAAGAACCAATACTAATACCGTTGTGGTATTTATGTTGAGATTCTCCAACTACACTTAAATACAAAGGGATATCAAAATCTAACCCGGCAGTTTTGAGAAAAATTACACTTTACAAAAATATATTTTACTACTTACAAATTTTGTTCAATTAGGCCATTCCTGGCGGTATTTGATTTCTGTGATGTATTTTTCGGCTAGATATAGCTACTTATTACCTCAAAAAGGAATACTACAAATGATGTAAAAAAGTCGTTTCATTTCCTTTATAAGTACCTAATACATATCTACCAGAAAAAAACTGTTTACTGAAGTCAAATACAGTCATAAATAGCCGACTTAAACATTAACAAAGCGTATTTTTTCTCATTACTCACGGGTCAGATTTAATAGTTATTTATTATACAAGAGTGGAAAGTTCCTTTTTAACCGCGTGCTCGATTTGGATGACCGAGCAAGCGAAGGATTCTAAAGTTGAATCACGAGCGCAGCGAGTGATTCTAAATTAGAATCCTGAGCGTCAGCGAGGGAAACAAACGAGCACAAGGTGAAAAATCTTTCCACTCGAGTGCAATACGTAACTTTTCATCCCACCTCAGCGAGGAAATGACAAAATGAAAAAGAAAACAATTTATAATGACAAAATATTTAAGCAATAAAACGTGAAAAACTAGAATGGCGCGAAGCACGCAAATAAAACAAAGAAACCAAGAAGGTTCCAAATTTAAATTTTTTCACAATTTAAAAAGTTCTAATCATAAATTTGGCACCATAGAGGTTACATTAAATAGGTTTAATGACGTTTTGAATTTACAATTATATTGAGTACTCATTATATGTGATGTTCTAAATTCAAATCTACTTTGCCGCTCAAGCGAATAAAATAGAATTTTCCAGCCAGATTTCGAAGCGCAAAATTACACTTTCCGAGGTGGTGGGATGAAAATGTCTTTTTTAATTTATGTATAATTAAGGTACCCCTACATTAATACCAAAACGGCATCGGTATTGATTATTGGACAAACTCCCATACAAATCTGCCCAGTCTCCTTTTTTTATTTAATATCGATTGACCGTTAGACTTTATTGTCAAAAAATATTCATTCGACAATGTAGATTTCTACTTAGATAAGTAGAAGGTAAAGTCTGGCAGTATAATATAATTATATTCTAAAAATATCACGTTATGAAGCTTATTTGGTAAACAGACTATTCACCCGAACGCCGCTGAAATCACACGTTTTAGGTACCTTGCACACTAGAAGGCCACTACCACGACCAGTGGCCGCAATGACCAGATTAACCAAAGAAACCACATGAACGTAGCGCACTGGTCGTTGAGGCGAACTTAAGAATAGTTTGCTGAAAGCGCTCGCTTACTAGATCTGCGACAGCGAATGTGGCCAACTATTCTCAGTGTCGTCACTTGACTATTCGTGTTTGATGTTTATAAACTTGAAAACAGTTTGTCTTTATTGTGCTTTTATGGAACCTTTCAAGTAGGCGACAACATAAAACCCGGCGAAATATACAACGCGGCCACAGAGGTCGTCAAATTAAAATCAAAATATGATTACTTTGTAGCGAGTGATGTGTGATAATTAGTGAGGTTTAACACTCCAGGGTAGGGAATATGCTTCAGACTGCTAAGGTGGTTGACTGAGTGGCATGCTTTAGGACTCCTCCATTAAAACATAACACCAGAAAATATTTCAATATTTATTTGATTTTAGAACCTTCAATGTTTTAAGTTGTTCTGATAGCTGAAAGATTGGATATCGGGTTTTAGTCTTAGTTAGTCTAATGGTTTTAAAGTACAAATTTAAGTTTCAAATAAGCTTAAAAAGAGTTACCATAGTGATTACTATAGTGATATACTAGTACTTAATTCTTTTTAATTTAATAATATTTTAATGATTTAACTACTGTTTTAAATCTGAACATTATTCTTTACTAGAAAAAATTACACACGGTCCAGGCAGCAGACGGGACTCGAACCCGCACCCACCGCTCTCCGGGCGGATGCACTGACCAATTATGCTACCGCGACCTTAATGGCCGTGTGACTTCTAGTATTTCTTAGGCTGCATGGCGGAGCTATCTTTCGCATTGTTTTTTTTCTAGGAAAATTGTCTATAAATTCTTTTTCAATTTATTTCAAAGTACCTATTTTTTTTTATTCTCAGAGTGGTCCTCCTATGTTCACTGCTGCTGGATTTTCATCGCCGCGAATAGTGGCTTCATTCCTTGGTTAAGTAACAGGGAATAATTTAACGTACAAAAAATATTTTGAAATATCATCATAATAGATGTCGAAATCGGTAATATTTCAGTTTAAGCTGTTTAGTTGGTCACATTATAATATGTCCAAAACTCCGATAGCAGGTAACATCACTGTTAAAGTTTTACCAGGCATGGAAAAGTTTTTTGAAGTTATACTTCTTTAGCCGCGTTATGAAAAAATTATGAGAGTGAAATTTTAAGATGCGCGCGCATCAATGTAACACAAAAGTAACATAATGAAGTTAGCCGCGGGCGCGTTATGAAAAAATCATGTGAGTGAAATTTCGAGATGCGCGCGCATCACTGTAACACAATAGTAACACTATGAAGTTGGCCGAGGCGCGTTATGAATGTTAGTGGTTAATAATCCACCATTATTAGACATCTGTTCGAAAGGTACTTTGAACGATCCACGGAGCTCCATAAGATGATCGCGTTGTCAAAAACAATGTTGGCACGCTCGTCGCCTCTGATCACTGTTTTCATATTTATAATATTTATCCACATGTTTCTAATTTCTATATAGACACAACGTGTTTTAATTACTTACAAGTGCTAATTACATATGGACTAATAACTTAAATTCAGTAGTGATTTTAATTGAATATTTTGAATATTTATTTAATTTTTCAAATTAAAACTGAACTTAATTGACTGTGTTAACTATCCTTTTCCAGTCCTTTTATTATTTTATTGTAATTATTAATTATTTACATGCAATTAAAAAATATTTTTAATGATGCTAAAGAAGTATAACTTCTCACGCGCGTACATAAGTTACACGCATCCATTTTTTTTTAATATGCGTTATAAATAAATAAATATATTCTAAGGCTTTAAAAATAAACGAAAACTGAAATATCGGAACTTGATTTACATAGTTATACACTGTGAATTTTAACTTACTTGAGATACTTATATTTCATAACAATAATGAGGACAGACATTTTTATTAACACGAATTATATACAGTTAACGTACTAACACCCCCATACAAAAATATTGATTTCTGTCGTTTACAAAATAAGATATCCTACAACTGCGTAATATTGTAAATAGCATACCTAGTATGAAACCATCATCCGTTTAAAAAACGTAGAGGCTAACAGAGGCTTGACTTGACTCAAATGACAATAAAAAAATTCAAGATTGTTGTTGTAGTTGTTAAAAAAAATGGATGCGTGTAACTTATGTACGCGCGTGAGAAGTTATACTTCTTTAGCATCATTAAAAATATTTTTTAATTGCATGCAAATAATTAATAATTACAATAAAATAATAAAAGGACTGGAAAAAGATAGTTAACACAGTCGATTAAGTTCAGTTTTAATTTGAAAAATTAAATAAATATTCAAAATATTCAATTAAAATCACTACTGAATTTAAGTTATTAGTCCATATGTAATTAGCACTTGTAAGTAACTAAAACACGTTGTGTCTATATAGAAACTAGAAACATGTGGATAAATATTATAAATATGAAAACAGTGATCAGAGGCGACGAGCGTGCCAACACTGTTTTTGACAACGCGATCATCTTATGGAGCTCCGTGGATCGTTCAAAATACCTTTCGAACAGATGTCTAATAATGGTGGATTATTAACCACTAAGTTTTTTTTTTTTTTTTTTTTTTTATAGATAGGTCCGACAAATGAGTCCACCCCACCTGATGTTAAGTGAAGGTGAAGTCCAGACGTGACGATAGCTGATACAGCAGTTTTACCTGCCACACCAGCCATCCTCACCCTGCATGTTGCTTCTTCACGCCTCTTTTAAAGGATCCCAGGTTGTAAGAGGGAGGGAACACGTGAGCGGGCAGAGCATTCCATTTACGGATAGTGCGACAAAGAAATGAGTCACCAAATTTCTTTGTACGCGTTGGAATTGTGGCCACAGTTAGACGATGACAACGTAGGCCAGCGCGCGTGGTCCTCTGAAGGAAAGGAGAAGGTGGGATAAGAGAGAATAACTCCTCAGAACACTCGCCGTGGTACAGACGATAGAACGCGCTTAGTGACGCCACGTCACGGCGTAATTGAAGAGGCTCAAGGTGTTTAGTCACCTCCTCATCGCCTATGATGCGGATCGCTCGTCGCTGTAACCTATCCAAAGCATCGAGCAAGTACTTGGCGGAGCCATCCCAGAGGTGCGAGCAATATTCCACGCAGGACCGCACTTGCGTTTTGTACAATAGGCACAGTTGATCGGGCGTGAAAAAACGCCGCACCTTGTTCAGGACTCCGAGTTTGCGTGAAGCTGTTTTGATCACGGTTTCGATGTAGTTCTTTGGATTCAGGTCTGAGCGAACTTCCATACCGATCATGGAAATGTTGCTCTGCAGCGGTAGTGTTGTGCCCTGAAGAGATGGAAGGGGAAGGAATGACGATGTTTTTGCCGTGAAAGCGCAAGCCTGAGTTTTTTTGGCATTGAACTCAACCAAGTTCCTGGTACCCCATTCGGAAATGTGGTCCAAAGCCTGATTGAGTTCAATGACAAGATTCTCCCGTTTCTCCTTGGTTACCGCCAGCCCAGCCGCTGCTTGTCCGAGATACCCCGCATGCACTGTACTATCGTCTGCATAGCAATGAATATTCTCAAGAGGAATTAAGTCATTGATATGCAGCAGAAAGAGAGTGGGGGATAGGACGGAGCCCTGGGGAACGCCGGCATTCACTGACATGAACCGCGAACTGCTACCATCCGTAAGGACACGAATTCTACGCTCATGCAGGAAGTCAGCTACCCAAGAACAGAACTGGGCTGGCAGACCGTATGCCGGAAGCTTGGAGAGAAGGCTTTTGTGCCAGACCCTGTCAAACGCCTTGGCAATGTCAAGGCTGATAGCCAACGACTCGCCACGCTTGTCGATAGCCTCACCCCAGATATGAGTTAAGTACGCTAGAAGATCACCCGTCGATCGTTTCGGTCTAAAACCATATTGACGATCATTAATCAAGGAGTGATCCTCTAGGTAGCGGGTCAGATGGTTATTAAGGACCTTTTCTAAAACTTTACATAAAACTGAGGTGACTGCTATTGGCCGGTAGTTTGCCGGGTCTGAGCGATCCCCTTTTTTGGGCACCGGTTGCACATTGGCATCTCTCCAAGTCTCCGGCACACGCCCCAAAGAATACGAGCATTGGTACAAGCGCGTGAGCACGGGAGACAACTCCGCTGCACATTTTTTGAGTACTACTGCTGGGATGCCATCAGGTCCACTAGCTTTCCGGACGTCGAGTGATTGCAATTCGGCACGAACCTCGCGCTGCCTGATTTTAATATCAGGCATCGTTGTGCCACAGTGAGGTAATGATGGTGGCAGTGCATTGCAATCATCGATTCGGGAGTTAGCCGCAAAGAGTTTTGCCAGTAAATCGGCTTTCTCCTGCGGCTTATGGGCTAGTGTTCCGTCTGGGCATCTCAGAGGTGGCAGCGAGGGCTCGCAGAAGTTTTTTTGCACGGCCTTGGCCAGACGCCAGTAGCTACGGGAGCCCGTAGGATGCGTCATAAGTTCCTGGCCAACACGTGCAACGCGCTGGGCATCCGCTCTAATGTAAGCCTTCTTACAGGCCTTGGAAGCAAAATTGTAGGCTGCTTTGAGTAAATCGACCTCGGGATCCTTGAGAGCGCGCCCTCTGATCCAAGCACGATATGCCGCTTGCTTACGCGAAGCAGCTTCAGCACAGTCGTGATTGAACCAGAGGTTACGCGTGCCCTTACTGATGAGATCAGAATTTTATTTTATTTTATTTTATTTTATTTTATTCGGAAAACGTACAGTGTTTTTTTAACAGCAATTATAACTAAATGTAAATCTAGACACCATTAACACGTTTTCGCATATGACTAACAATACAAAGCTCGTCGCTGAAACCATACAAGCAGTGCCAAGTGAAAAATACAGGAAAGTAATAAGACTAGAGATAATTGAGATATAACAGCAAGCGACGCTTAAAGCATGCATTAATTAAGCTAGGCAGTTTGAGAATCAGCAAACCAAGAACTGACTAAGATATTTTTAAGTATTTGTGGTTTAGTTATAAATAAGTCAAGTTGGGGGAAACTTACTAATTTGTTAGTTTCTTTAGCAGACCTTACGAAAAAAGAGTTTTGTCTGTAATTAGTACCACATTGGGGAACATCTAAATGTACAAATCGCCTTACGGTTTTGTTAGGGATTTTTATACCTATTTTTGTTAGTGCGTCCGGCGAGTCAATGAGATATTGAGCGATTTTTGCCAGTAGAAATACATCTGCTATTTTTCTTCGCTCATTCAGGGGCAGGATGTGATGTCTACGACACCTTTCCTCGTAGCTAGAGTCATAAGTCCTACTTTTGTATTGTAAATACCTTAAGAATCTTCGCTGAACAGATTCAAGTCGGATAATGTGAGCGCTATAACAGGGGTTCCAAACTTGAGAACCGTACTCGAGGATACTTCGCACCAAAGAACAGTATAAAATTTTCATCACTTTAATGTTTCTGAATTCTGAACAAACTCTAATCACAAACCCCAAGGATTTTCTAGCCTTTTTAGTTATAAGGTCTATATGTTTCTCATATGTTAATTTCGAATCATGTAAAATACCCAGATCTCGAATCTCATCAACTTCCGCCAGTTCACTCCCTTTCAAAACATATTTATTGCGGAATGGCTTCCGTTTACGAGTGAAGGTTATGAGGTTACATTTAGATATGTTCAGATCTAATTTATTTAAAGAACAATATAACTCAAACCTATTTAAATCTTCCTGGAGTAACTGGCAGTCTTTTTGACAATCGATTCTTTTAAACACTTTCATGTCATCTGCGTATAATAGAAATTTTGAATTTTTGAAACAATAAAAAACATCGTTAATGAATATATTAAAAAGCAAAGGCCCAAGTAAAGATCCCTGGGGTACACCTGAGGGAACATGAGTCCAGGTAGAAGAGAAACCGTTCAGAACTGTCGCTTGGGAGCGATTTTT